TGGATTGTGATAAGAGTTGTAGGAGCCCCCAGTAAAGTGATTGAAAGGAAAACAGATTATTTCTGCAGAAACACTCTGCATTGGAACGGACTCGATGGCAGTGGGCCTGTTTGGTTTTGGAATAGAGCTGCTATTTATGGAAATTTTTTTATGGATCTATACCATTAAAAAAATGTTTCCTTAAAACTTGCTGAAAGCATACGCAGCAAAACAAGTTTGCATTCCACAGTGCTGCCACATAATGGTCCGGGACGTTGGTTAGAAAGCTGTGTGAATCTCTGTGGCTGTCTATGAATCAGTGCCTCTGTATTTCAATGTACATGTCTATATATACATGGATAAATCAAAAGCATTGCTACTAGGGTTCTAGGTCATACACACATCCAAACAAAATGTGTTTAAACATGTCTCTGCAATTAGTGGATGGCTATAACCAGATTCTATCTGTAATACACTTGCCTTGGCCCCCTTAAGGCGCCTTTTAAAAAAAAGGGTCCACTCAAAACAGTGGCTTCCAAGGGGATTCATGGCAGAGAGGTCAGCTCAGAAAGTTTGGTTTTGGGGGGTAGTAGGGGTGGTAAAGGGAGAGGCTGTCAAGGAGTCCAAGAAGAGTGTTTGGAAACTGATTGTGGTGGCAATTGTACAATTCTGCTTGATGTGATTGAACTCTGCAATGATATATAGTTTAACTCTCAAGTAATAATAATCATAATGAAGGTTTCCAGCAACTGTCTTTCGTGTCCCAAGGGCATGGATAGGTTTTCTTAGAGGACACAGGACGATCACAGAGACTTATGAAAAAGTTTTTTAAGAAAATGGAAAACTGGATTGGTGGGAAGGCAGGGAAGTTGTGCTGAGGAAATATTTCTATCAAGATAAAGCAACTGCTCATTTTTAATAGAAGCAAGGGCTATCCTAGGAGAATTTCATTGGGGAATCTTACCCCATTTAGCTTATAATCCTGTTCCCCAAACCTAAAGAACATTCAAAAGAAGCACGATGAGACCTTCAATGATGCCCAAACTGCCATTTAGACGTGGCATAGTCCAAGAGTGCAGAATGTGTGGGACAGGAGTTAAAAAGATGGAAACACTGCCTTCAGATGTGACAGACGTAGGTGGAACATATGTTGTCAACCAATAACTTTACATTTTTATATTTTTGCTTAGGAAAGGTTTCTGTGGTTTTGTAGAATTAGTTTTAACTTAACCTTATGTATCAATATATAAAGTAAGATAGGTACTTTCCCCGTGCAGTACTTTAGTCTTTCCCTAGCCACATCTGTTCCTTCTCCTAAGTAGTTACGATGAATCAATTTTTAAAAGGTATTTTATAATTTCAACATACAGAGGGCTTTTCCTAGTTTTTGTTCTCTAGAGTAGTCAAACTAGGAAAGCATATATTGTAACGTACAAGACAGAGATTTATTTCAAGGATATAACTTGTGGAGTGAGGAGGCTGCCAAGTCCTGAAACAGTGAGTCAGGCTGGAGGCTTCTCCTGCCTCACATGGCTGTACCGATTGACATGCCCCAAACTGGCCGGTCAAGCAGAAGGCTGATGGCTCAAGTCCCAAGAACCAGCACTTAGAGGATGACAAGCTGGATGCAGAACTAAGAAGGTGAGCTCTGACAGAACGTCCACGCATATTGAATGCAGGCCACACCCCTAAGAACACCCCCCTTTCAACTGATTGGCTGCTTGTATCTGATCACAAAATGGAAGATGATTACATAACATCCACCCAAGCATTGAGAACCATGGCCCGGCCAAGTTAATGCCTTCCTTAACCATCACAGGTGCATAAAATGAAATGTTTTCAATTTCTCCTTTAAAAAAATTGTATTTTATTGTGACAGTGGTTCAGTATGTCTGAAAGAAGTTTCCCCACCACCATTTAGGCTGCTCTCCTTGCCTGCAACAGTCTCTCTCACACTGCTATCAGGTTCATCTCCCTCTGGTTCTTAAAAGTCTCATTGAAAACGTAGAACTTAGAGGTCCCTGATGTCATGTCCCACTGTTCTTTCTTTTCTGCACTGCTGTCTCTGATTATATCCCCTTGAAACTGTGTTATTTCTTGTTTCTATCATCTTACAAGGGACTACTCAAAAAAACCTGGATCCACCACCCACCCCAAGCTATGTATTTAAATTTTTTTTTAACAAAACAATCTTATCATCTTCAAAGTAATCTCCATTACACTTAATACATTTATCAAATCTGCAATTCCATTCTTGGAAACATTTTTGAAACTCATCTGTTTGGATGGCTGATAGTACCTCCCTCGTTTTTTTTTCTTCACCTCTTCTACTTCGTCAAATCACTGTCCTTTCATGTCCCTCTTCATTCACAGAAACAAAAACAGGGTGAGGTCGGGTGAGTCAGGTGCATGGGGCAAGAGAGGCAGGCTGTTTTTTGCCAAAAACTGGCACACTAAGATGGCTGCGTAAGCAGGTGTATTGTCGTGGTGACAAAACCAGTCCCCCATCTACCACAAATCAGGCCTTTTTTGTCGCACACTGTTATTGCAATGTTTTCAGAACCTCTAAATAGAAAACTTGATTAACAGTCTGACCTGGTGGAACGAACTCCAAATGCACTATGAGTCAAAATTCCCCTCCATTTGGGAAGTTGATGAACATCCTGAATGAGGTTTGTCATCAATCGACATTTCACCTTTTTTGAAACGAGAAAACCACTGTACACTTGAGTTTTTTCCCATAGCGCTGTCCTTGTAAGCTGTGTTCAACATCAAACAGTTTCTACGGTATTTTTCCCGAGCAGGAAAGTCAATTTCACAGTCACACCCTCACTGTTCTCCTTAAATTGGCCATCAATATTAGTAGACACTGATGACATGTTTGTTTGATTTTTTTTTAAACTGGGACAACGTGGTCTTAGTTAAGATCTGAAATAAAATCACTTCCAGTTTCTTCTGTTGATAAAATACTCAATACACCTACCGTAATCAGCTGGTGTATAATTCAGAAGTTCAAAGTTCCAGTGCTTATAGCATGAGTAACTCTGGTACATGCTAAATATTTCCTCGGTGAATTGTTGGCAAATGTCTCCTAGAAGGAAGCACAAAGACTGTTTGGTCAACAAAGCTTTCAAGAACCTTCAAGGTGAAAACAACAAAAACCAAACCCACTGCCATTGAACCCATCAGGTAGGACCCAGAGGAACTGCTCCACAGGGTTCCAAAGCCATCGATCTTTATGGAAGTGGCCCCCGCATCTGTTTCCTAAAGAGTGGGGCCAGTCTTTCTGTAGGCAGCTGAGCACTTAACCGCCCACCACTAGGGCCCCTTTCCATGGGTCAAGGGTCCCTGGAAGTGAGGAGTAACTATTTTCCAGCACACTGAAAGGATGCTCTCAGATCTTGGTAAAATTTGAGTATTTTTAAAATTTATTTTATATTTTTATATAAAATATATATATAAAATATATTAAAAAATTAAATATATTTAAAAATTATTTTACCTGCAGATAATCTTTAAACCTTAAACCAAAAACACCTCTGGAAATCTTCATAAAACCCAACAACAGTTTAGCTTGACTCGTCAAAAGGTGCCTTGAACGTGATGCTCTTTTAAGAACTACCTGTATGGGTCAAATGGCAAAGGCACCTTGAAAGATCAGGAGGGCACCCTGCGGTCAGTGGGTTTATGTTCACGGAGGAGGAGCAACTGGGACAAGGACAGCGAGAGTGGCTGCAGCCACGTCACCACTCATCACATGCAGACTCGGTTGAATTGGTGCTGTTGTTCCAACAACTACAAAATTAATTAAATTAAGGAGAAAAAAAAGGCTGGAATCATTAAAAACAAAAAAGTTAAATTTCTAAAAATTACTTTACTGACCTCCAGTAGTCCTTCCCGATATTACCTCTAAAATCACATCATTTTTGTCATATTTCTCCTTTGGCACTAGGCTCTGGAAAAGCTGAAAAGCAATAGCAAAAATAAATAAATAAATCCGCATTGGTGTGTGTTTCCTTTTAATACTAGCTACGAGTCCGGTGGCGCAGTGCATGAAGCGGTCACCTGTTAGCCAAAGAGTTGGCAATTCAAACCCTCCAGCTGCTCCATGGGAAATGATGTGGCAGTCTGCTTCCAAGAATAGCACAGCCCTGGGAGCCCTGGGAGACAGTTCTGCACAGGCTACAAGGTCACACACTCTGAGCCGAATGGACTCAACAACAATGAGTTTGGTTTTTCCATAATACTATTTTATTACTTGAAAAAAATCCCGATAATTCTTAATTATTAAGAAATCAATAATTAACAAAATGACCTAGCATCTCAATGAGCTCCTGTCCTAAAATGCTATAATAAGTATGACACTAGCCCTAAAAGAAATGCCTGATTCATGTTAACAAAGAGGTTTCTTGTCAGGATAGTCTTGTCAGTGTTCTCTCTCATTATCTTTATTAACTCAAATGCACACATTTAGATCAAAGCATAAAGTGTCCGTTCAATTTTCTTTAGGCTTTGCTGCTGATAATTACGTCTGAACACTAGCTTCTTTCACCTAAAGAGAGCAAAGCTTTGAACATCTTCATCTGGAGACAGTAAACTTTTAATAATGCAATTGTTTGTTCTTTCCTGCCACAGATGCAGGAGAGCCCAGGCCTTGCCTGTTCCACAGACTTACTGGTTTTTAAGAGGGCTGACCATACCCATAATAAAGAACAAACTGAGCTTCTCATTAAAAAGGTGGGGGAGGGACTGCTAGTAAAGAAAGCCACCAGGTTTTCTCTTAGGAAGAAAAGGGGTTTAATCATTACTAAAACGGGCTTTCAACCCAGAACAAAAAAATCATATCATTGTGAATGAGGGGGAGTGCGGAGAGAAGACCCAAAGCCCATCTGTAGACAATTGGACATCCCCTTACAGAAGGATTTCGGGGAGGAGAGGAGCCAGTCAGGGTGCAATATAACAACAATGAAACATACAACTTTCCTCTAGTTCTTTAATGCCTCCTCCCCCCACTATAATGACCCCAATTCTACCTTACAAATCCGGGTAGACCAGAGCATGTACACAGGTACAGATAAGAACTGGAAACACAGGGAATCCAGGACAGATAAGCCCCCCAGGACCAATATTGAGAGTAGCCATACCACAAGGGGAAGGGGAAGGTGGGAGGAGAAAGGGGAAACCAATTACAATGGTCTACCTTTAGCCCCCTCCCAGGGGCATGGACAACAGAAAAGTGGGTAAAGGGAGACACAGGTCAGTATAAGACATGAAAATATAATAATTTCTAAATTATCAAGGCTTCTGAGGGAGGGAGGGGAAAAAATGAAGAGCTGATACCAAGGGCTCAAGTAGAAAGAAATGTTTTGAAAATGATGATTGTAACAAATGTACAAATGTGCTTGACACATGGATGGATGTATAGATTGTGATAAGAGTTGTACGAGCCCCCAATAAAATGATTTACTAAAATTGAAAAAAAAAAAAAGAAAATGGTCTTTCAGATCAAATTAAAAATATCTACTTGTCCTATCTCTCCCCCAAGCCCAAAACACCAAACCAGTTGCTATGAGGCTCATTCCAAATCCTGGTGACTGCATGTGTGCCAAACTACAACTGTGATTTATAGGATTCTCAATGGCTAATTTCTCAGATGTGGACCACCAGGCCTACCTTCAGAATGACCTCTGAAAACAACAATAATTTATAATTTATTGGGGGGTCATGAGGGTGGGGGGGCGGATGGGAAAAGGAGGAACTGTTATCAAGAACTCAATAGAAAGTAAATGTCTAGAAAATGATGATGGCAACACATGTACATAAGTGCTTGATACAATTGATGTATGGATTGTTATAAGAGCCCCCAATAAAATGATTTTTTTAAAAAGTGACCTCTAGGTCAACTCAAACTCCCGACCAGTCAGTTCAAAGCCTAGCACTTATCCATTGTGTCACCCTGGGACCTTTCCTTACTGCCTACGTTTTTTGGTTTTTTAAAAATATTCTATCTCTGCAGGAAATTATATATTTTGTGAGAAAGTACTAGACTGAAAATCAGACACTTTGCTTCTATCTTTGATTAGCTGGTTAAGCAGTGACACCCCTATTCACCATCCCTGACCCTCACAAACTGCTCTCCTGGATTTCCTGGGCGGGAAAGACTGAAGGTAAGAGGATGACTAACTATACACATATATTGTCGTGGTGCAGCGATCTATGACTCTTCTAACCAGAGCCTTTGTAACACTAACAAATGATTAGGTGGGAAGATGCAAATAGGGTATATGAGACGCTAACATAGGGATTGGTCGGTTTTGCCATCATGTTGAGTATAAAATGAACCATCTCACAAGCAGGAATTGGGAATCTCATTGCCATCAAGGAAGATGGGTGAGGAGTGGAAGATGTCCTTTAGACCCTAAGATTCCTGCACTGAACCTCCTTGATCCAGGAGACAGCTGTAACATCAGAGGTGGCAGGAAGGAGCTGATCAGTGTGGCAAAAAAGGCAGTGGGGCACTGAAAGCACAGAGCACAGTGGTGGGTTTGCCAACTCATGGAGTGAGCAAAGCCAAATGCCTTTGGAAAGGAGGCTTTGCTGGCAGAATGGGTCTCCTCGGGGCACTTAATCTGGGGAGCTGGGTCTGCTAACCCATTGAGCTAGAGCTGAGCACCTACAAGCTGAGACTTCTGGTGGAATGATGTGTTCTTTGGGTGTTTGTTAGCAGCACTAAAGAGCTATGTCACCATTGCCCAAGTAGATGAGAGGTCAATGGGCTACAAGGCTCTGTTGCTAAGGGTCAGAGAGAGAAATGTTTCTATGGGCATGGCTGAGAAGAGACACTCCTACCCAGAGAATGGCTCTTTCTGAATCTGAATTGTAACCTGTTATCTTCCATAAAAAAACTTATAAGCATTGTCTATGAGTTCTGTGTAGCCATCTCAATGGATTATAGAGCCAAGCTCTATAATGGAGGGATGGATGGTCAGAATAAGGTAAAGATGGTTGGAGGGCAAAGGCATGTCTGACCTTTGCCTCATCAGAATCAACCCTGAGGTGGCATGGAATTGGATTCTCCTCCCCCTTTATAGAGCCGGAATAGGTCAAATACCACTCCCAATAGATGTTTGCAATTGTCTTTGTAGATAAGTCATATTTTGAACATGAAGAGAAAGAAACTACCATCAAAAATGTTTTTTCTATTCAATTGATTAGGAAATAATGAAACTGAATTTTTGGTTTTAGCATAACTGATAATATTGAAAAACAAACAAATACAAATTCAGTGCTATCAAGTCAATTCCAACTCACAGTGGCCATATAGGACAGAGCAGAATTGCTCTAGCGGGTTTTCAAGACTATAACTCTTTATAGAAGTTGAAAGCCTCATCTTTCTCCAAAAAAGCACCTGGTAGTTTCAAACTGCTGAACGTGTGGTTAGCAGCCTTATGTGTAACCCACTATACACCAGGGCTCCTAACTGGTAACATGAGGTGACATTAATGAACTATCACGAATCGTGTGAAATCCTCATCTGCCAGACCCTTACTGGCTGTTAGGGGCCATGAAATCAATTCCAAATCTGTAGCAGCCCCATGTGACAGAGACTTCCCCTGGGGGGAGTTTCCTGGTTGTTGTCAGAGTGGAAGTCAGGTCTCTCTCTGGTAGTCACGGGTTGGGTTCAGATCCTTACCAGACCCAACTAAAAACGTGTGTAAACCAAATGTACCAACACCTATGAACTCATTCTACCCTATCCAGAGTATTAATTTGTAATCTTAGACAATCACCAGAACTACTCCTTTCTAGCACTAAAAAACCAAATCCTTACCCCCATGAACTGATATGAGTTCCCATAGTTGGCAAGTGAATAGTCAGATGTATTTCTTATTTATTTTTAGTGCTTGTGGGTATTTAATTTATTATTGATATCACCATCTCATTGTGTAGCAAGTTATCGCATTGAGTTTGGATTAATGGCCTATTTCGAAGGAAACCCCACTTGGCTGCCGTCTCGTAGAGTCCAGTCTCAACTCACAATGACCCCCATGTGTGCGTGCAGAACTATGATCCTTGGGTTTTCATGGCTGTGACCGTGGAAGCAGACAATCATGTCTTTCTTTCAAGGTGCTTCTGGGTGGCCTTGGACAGCCAATCTTTCATTAATAGCTGCAAAGTCTTAATAAACTACTCTGGAAAGTATTTTGAGCATCTAAGTATAGTTAAGTGAGAAAAACATTCATTTATTACAGAGAAGACACTAATGCTGGTGTTCAGAAAGTACACTGAGCATAATCTAACAAGAGCGAACAGTATCCCTTGATAATAGCACCGTTGAGACCCGACTGCCGTCTAAGACGTACCTCATTGTACAACATGTTGAGTTTTTGATCAAGAGTTTCCCTTTCTTCGAGGGCAAGTCCTTGTAGCTGCTGTTCATCTTGTTTAGTTAGACCTAAAAGCCAGTAATAGAAATAATGGTCAAAGTTTCAAAATGCTGAAAACCTCTCAAACAGCCATTTAGTCTTCCCTCAGTAAACTTTACTTCTGCTGTTAAGGTAAGGAATTATGTCAAAGGAACAGCTAGAATAGTTGAAGAATATTAACTAACAAGCATTAGTAAGCATAGTCACAAAATTCAATGAGTAAAACAGTATCTTCCTGCTCATAGATCCTCCGAGGTTTAAAGGGTCAAGGTCTGAAAATTAGTGTGAAATTGGTTTTCTTGAACACCAGACTGATAGAGCATAAATTTCTGGCTAATGGGCCTGTCTGAGTGGAGATGCCTGGCTTGGTGTTTAAAGTGAACTAACAATGAATATCCTTAGGCTTACTATTTGATAATCATTACAATAAATAATTCCACAGGTCTAAGAAATCTCTCAATTCTCTGTCCTTGAAATATCTTCATACATTAAAAAGAAAATGTTGACAAATTCTGTAACTATACTTGGAATAGAAATTATTGAGAGAAAACTTTCAAGGCACAGAACACAAAGCACAAAGCTTTGTTACTCAGCTGAGGTGCAGTGTCATCAGGGTGTCTGACCCAGCCTATTTGGTTGAAGCCCCTCTCCTGTTTGCTTCTGTGAACGTGCCTTTCTCTAATGAGCTTGCATCACACTATAAGTATTTTCAAAATATAATCTCTGACCGTGCAAACCCTTTGGCAGGCAGTAACTATATTTTTGTGTCCCTGGTTGAAATGAAAGCTTCTAAATAGATAATACAGTACTGAGTTTCGAAGCCTCTTTAGAACTTCTTAGCAAGCACTACTGGGAGGCCAGTCACATCGTAGTTCATCTTTTGTAGCTGAAATTGGTCAAACATATAGAATCCTATCCTTTTGAAGTGTATAGCTTATTATTTGTAAGCTTTTAAAAAACTGAGTTCAATAAACTCGAATTAAAAAGGCAATATTGTATTTGTACCTACATACACCCACCCCTCACTTAGTGACATAGTTAGGCTCCAAAAACAGGTCATATTATGAAAATTGGTGTGAAGCAAAAAATGGGGGATGACCATATCATATCACAAAGTGGAGGAATACTATATTATTATATAATGGCCAAATTATATCATTACATATCTGCTAAACCGCTGAGCATCATGGCCCTTCCAACCTGACACACAACCTTCACCCTCACAGCCAACTTTACTCTTGTGTGTGCCTTGGCATTTATGCCAGACAAGCATTGCTAGTGGTCAAAATAGTGGGGTAGATTTTTAAATGTGAGATGTCTGGTCATGAGATAGTTCATGAGCGAGCATTGTGTATTTTTTACCTACTTTTACACATTGACTCTAATTCTTCAACTGCACGTTTGGCCTCCTGGATTTCTTGATAAATGGCTGCTAATGGTGCTAACTCCGCATGCCTTTGGTTCCAAGACCTTCGATCACCTCCATTCACAGAGACATGCTGTAAATACTGATCAAGTTTTTGGTACTCTTTGTTGAGATCCTCCATATATTTCTGGAGTGCTTTATGCTTCCACAGTATCCTGGTATCTTGATGACAACATCTTCTGGGCCAAATCTTATTTAACAGAGAATAGAGAATGGGATTCCTGTTTTGTCTAAAAATCCACCTTCTTGTGTTAAGATGTATCTGTCTAAACGGTTTACAAGGGAGATGGGTGTGCCATTGGTGGTAACCATTAAGAGAAGAAGAGGTAAAAAGCCAAACACATAGATGACGGTTCATCTCAGCATCTGAAATATAAAGAACACAATCTGATAAAGATTAAATCTATAGGCATATGGTATAAAATAGCTGGATGGAACTTAAAGAAATCATTCAGTCCACTGCCTCAGTCAACTCCAAAAAGAGTCACAAAATTCACCTGCTCACAATAAGAAAATACCTCTCTTCAATCCTCTGAATAATAAAATATTAAATAAGAGACAGCATTGCTTTTTTAATGTTCCAACATGTATAAATTACGAGGGCAAATAAGTGGTAATGTAACTAACAAATTTATCCAGATGATGAGTTGTAGCAGCGATTTTCTAGAAAGTGTCCCTGATCTACACTTGAGTATGTGAACAAGCATTTTAAAAGTATGAAACAATTAAGCAAATTTTAGATAATTCACATCTCCATAGATGTCTAATGCATGAACAAAAAACTGATCATTCCCTTGCCTAATTCTTTTAGTTTAGGCCCAAAGAAGTCAGGAAAATCAATCATGCCATGCTCACTTACTCAGCTGAACAGAAGCTGAGCTGGTATGAGAATGCAGTTGCTTGGAAAGGGCTCAGGCAAAATTCCAGGATCTGGTCAGCAATCACCCTCGGATGCTGCCCTTTTGGTAGGTATCTTCAAGGAAGGAAACTTGAAATAGTAACGTATCAAGAAGTAAAAGCTCTCATGGAAATGGGACAGGGTGATAATTACACTAAGTGAGAAAGTACAACTCATAATATGATCCTTATGTTTTTTTAAAATCCTATAATATATAGTACACATGTAAAAAGGTCTATAACCAAATCACTGAGTTGGAACCAACTCTATGGGAGTAGATTTTTTTGGTTATATACAGAATACAAGTGTGCCATGGGATTTTCCCAAGGTCGTAAATCTTGACAGAAGCAGACTGTCACATCTTTAGTCCACAGAGCTGCTGTGAGTTCAAACTGCTGATCATTTGGTGAGCAGTCGAATGCTTAACTCACTGCACCAACAAGGTTCCTTAAAAGGTACCCCCAAAGCCAAATCACTGCTGTTGAGTCAATGCCAACTCACAGTGACCTCATAAGACAGGGTAGAACTGCTCCTGTGGGTTCCTGAGACTGTAATTCTGTAGGGAGTAGACAGCCCCTCTTTGTCCCTGGGGAGCAACTGATGGTTTCAAACTGCTGACCTTGCAGTTAGAGGCCCAATGCATAACCACTATGCTACCAGGGCTCCTTAAAGGGTATATAGAGTCCTAAAAATGATATATAACACAGAAAGGTACCAAAACACTAATAAAATGATCTCTGGGTTGTATTGTTATGCTTTTGCTTGATTTATTTTTCAATGTATTCCAAGTCTTCAACACATAGAACCCACATTCTTTTCTAAACAAAAACAAAACAAAACAAAAAAAGGGGTTACTTAAAAAAATTACAGGTTAAGTCAAATAGGCTGTGTACTTAACTGTTCTTTCTCTTCCACTTCAATAGAGATAATCAAAATCAAACTAAAATATATGATATTATTGAGTAAAAAAGGGAAAAGATAAGTTGCTCTAAGAGAATTGCTTTTGTCCTAAAATGCAGAAGTTCAAAGTTGAAGTGAGGGTCAAAACTGATCAGAATCAATATTTATATTCGCCAATGTTCGTAGTATACTAGTCACTTATTATTAGTACATTTGATCATCATAAATCTACTAACTTATTTAGCCCTGGTGGTGTAGTGGTTACACTAACAAGGTCAGCAGTTCAAAATCGCCAGCCGCTTCTCGGGAAAAAGAAGAGGCTATTTCTGTAGAGTTAGTCTTGGAAACCCTTTATTGAAGTTTTATCTAGTTCTGCCCGGTTGCCAGGAGTAGACAGCATTAAAACCCAAATTATCCTCGAGGAAATAAAATATTCAGAATGGTCTCTAAAATATTCGACATTTGCAAGGTTCTACCGATAAACTTTAAAATACGAAATCACATTCAGAAAGGACAGTGGAAGAACGCAACAAATCTCTTACACTGCCCTAGGAGAAGTTTCTGTGCCTCGTTACAACGGGCCTGCAGCGCCTGGGAGGGGCAGGGTATTCGACAATAACAAAGTAAATGGACACAGAATGACCCAGAGGGACTCGGCATCCACGCGTCAGACTGACAGCACGCGCGCACGACCGCACAGGTGAGCACCTGATACCTATTCTGAGAATTTCAGCAGAAGACCGAATGATCCGACCCTATCGCACACTGCTATCCATGGATTCCGAGTCGTGGTGCCCCAGAACGGCTCCGTCCTGTTCCCAGGGCTACCAAGCTTCCTAGACATAGACTGCCTCACCTTTCTCCCGCGGAGCCCCAGAGCTTCCGGTGAGCTGCCCAATGCTTAACCCACCGCACTACCAAGGATCCTTGCTTCCTCAAGGAAAACTATAGGGCAACAAGAATAAGACTGGGGAAAGGAAGCTTTTTTTCCTAAAGCATTTTTAATATCAGGAAAGCACTTTGAGTAGCTGAGAGAAACGAAGGACGTTAGGTTTTCTTACTGACACGGAACCTTCTGTGTGACCCGCTCCCATTTCAGGCCGACAGATCCGCAATGACTTCCACTTCCTGGTTCACTCCTTTCGGTGTCACACTCGTTCTCGGCTCTCTCAACCGGCCTCCAGAGAACACGTCCCGGGGCTCACAGGCGCCACCGGTTGTGGTGATGGGAGAACGGGATGGAATACCATTTCCGGCGCTGCCGCCAGGAATCCTGGGAGATGTAGTTTATCCCAGACAGGCGTCAAGCACTCCCCGCCTCCAAAAGGCGGTGCACCATTGGCTTCCACAATACTGGAAACCCCAAAGAGGAGTTCTCTATAACTGGTGAAGAGATCAAAACTGACAATATTTTATGTGAAGTATCCCATGTTATGGACTTCACAAGGATATCTTAGTAAATTCCGGCCACATATTTAGGAGTTAACTCTAAGTGCAAAATAATATCTAATATTTTCTCCCTACTTATCACATCCCAGTAACTATCTTAAATGCCTTACATTTATTAATCCATTTATGCAACAACCCTATTTGCAAAAAGAAAACTATTTTCAAAAAGAAAACTGAGACACAAAGATTAAGTGACATGTCCAAGGCAGAAGAACTGGGCAGTCGGCCTCAATGACACTGGCTTTTTGGTGCCTTAAAGGTTGGACTTGTTTCTCGGCATATTTGACCTGCAGATTTAAAAAATGGCACCAGTTTTCCCCTATGAGCTCTAATTTTTTTTGCCTTCCAATTTTTAATTCTATTATTATTTTCAATCATTTTATTGGGGGCTCTTAGAACCATTCATATATCCATTGTGTCAAGCACATTTATACATATGTTGCCATCATCCTTTTCAAAGCATTTTCTTTCTACTTGAGCCCTTGGTATCAGTTCAATTTTTCCCTCCCCCTCACCCTCGTGAACCCTTGATCATTTATAAATCATTATTTTCATATCTTACACTGTCTGCTTTCTCCCTTCACATTGATTATTAAATCAGTTAACCTTTCCTCCCCCCACCTCATGGTATTGCTATTCCCGTTATTGTTCCTGAGGGGTTTATCTGTCCTGGATTCCGTATATTGAGAACTTTTATCTCTACCAGTGTACATGCTCTGGTCTAGCTGTAAAGTCACATACATATGTAAATATATTTATATATGACTATAGTGACATAGCTCTATGTACATATATTTATATGTTAAGTATTAAGATAGCAGACAGACATTGAGTCTCTACTCAAGTACTCCCTCAATGTAATAACCTGGCATGCTGTGATGCTCACCTTCCCAACAGGATTGCTGAAGACAAAATGGGTGCATAAACAAATGCGAAGGAAGCTGATGGTGCCCAGCTATCAAAATATACATGTGGGGTACCAGCCTCCACAATTCAACAGGTCCAAGGCAGTTGTATAATTGAGGGGTAAAATTAAAGAGACATCAGACAAGATAAAGCATGTAAGGACTCACCTCCGGGACCACCATGACTTCAGGAGCCAGATCTACGCAGAGAGACCATATTTCCAACCAAGACTTATATACACTCTAGGGGCATGTCAGTCCCCCTAATTACAGGTAACCACATGCGTTAACAGGAAGGGGTTGTGTAATATGCATCGAGTGACAGAAAGGCATACATGTAACAAGATAGGTGGGCTCTAAACTCAAGATGGTAGCCTAACCTTGGTCATCCCTGAGTTGGCTTGACCTTAGGAGTCTTTGGACTCTCCTTCGGGGGAACACTTCATTATCCTTATCAGAAGGGAGTGGGCTCTTCTTAGGATGGGACAGACAATAGGCCCTGATTGCCTTAGAAAACCTTTAAGGAGATGACCTACAATATCAGTGACCATGTGTTTGTAAACAGCACCTTAAGTTTGGCATTATTACTGGGAGACAACCTGGGGAGTAACTTTTCTGCTTCCCACAGATACAGTGTCTGGGGTCTTAAAGGCTTGAAGATAAATAAACAAGCTGCCATCTATCTTGGAAGCAACAAAGCCCACATGGAAGAAGCACACCAGCCTGTGTGATCATGAGGTGTCCACAGGAACAGGTATCAGAAGACCCCAAACAATCATATTGATGTGTATGAGGGGGAGGGTGGAGTAGAGACTCAAAGCCCATCTGTAGACAATTGGACATCCCTTCACAGAAGGGTCACAAGGGACGAGCCAGCCGGGGTGTAGTATAACACCAATGACGCATACAACATTCCTCTAGTCTAGGGGGGGCATCTAAGATCCTTAATGCCCCCCCTCCCACTATTGTGACCCCAATTCTACCTTACAAATCTAGATCTAATTTTTGAACGCATGCCATATAACAATGTTCTCTCTGCTCGCCCATAAAGAATCAATATTTTAGCTAGCCTGAGGTAGAAGAAGTGCACACTGAGTGTTCAAATGTGCTTGACACAATGGATGGATGTATGGATTGTGATAAGAGTTGTACAAGCCCCTAATAAAATGATTTTTTTTAAAGTGCATGCTGAGCTTATTTAAATTCGTTTGTATTGTACAAAATATTTAGGTCAGGTTATACTTCACGTGGTGTCTTTTGATCCAAAGATCTATTTGAACTGTGCAAATAAATCAAGTTTCTACTCGGCTTTTCCTGAAAGAATCAGAGAACCGTGGCCTCCTCAACCTTGGATATTCTTTGAGGAGTGAGACCAGCACAGGAGAAGAGATTGGTTTCAGTCGAAGCTGGAGCTGTTGGTCTCTTCTGGAAAATGTTCAGAAACACCAAAAACATCAAACTACAGCACACAAGTCAATGACAGGATAGCAGGCAACACTTTGATTCTTTGAAGATCCATCCGCCTGCTTTCCGGTTCCACTTTGATCACTTCCGATAGGCTTCAAATTCTTGAGGCTTTCCTCATTGTGAACATTGGAAATGGGCTGAGATTTTTGTTTGTTTGTTTTGTTTTTCTTTTAAAAATAATTTTATTGGGAGCCCCTACAGCTCTTAACACAACCCATCCATCCATTGTGCCAAGCTCATTTGTACATGTTTTTTTTTTGGGGGGGGGGTGAGATTTTAACCAGGCATATATACTATAGAAAAAAAACACTGAAATTAAAGAATTATTTAGCAATTTAAGATCACAAATCCACTGTTAGTAATGCAACAGCAAAACAAATGTTATTCTACTGTGTTCTTATAAACTATTCTCCCGTGGGGAGGCTGAACAGGAAGGATGAAAAAGCAACCTTTCTAAATGGAACTTTTCAATTTGGCTCCGATTTTTTTCTAAGCTTAAAACGAAAACAAAACCAAAAAAAACCCAACTCCAGAAAACTGAGAACTAGGCCATGTGCTGGTAGGATGAAATTCGGACAACACACCGCATCAAACATGCTGCCGCCGAGTCATTGACCCAAACCTCAACGCCCACAGGGAACGCCTGGAGTGGTTCCCAGAAGCAGAATGCCACATCTTTCTGGTGCAGTGGCAGGTGAGCGCTTGTCACTGCACCCCCGGGACTCCTTTCGCCACTCAGTGACCCTCATGTTCAGAACCAGTTATTATTATTTTTTTTTTTTTAGAACCGGTTAAATTTAAGAAACCTTGAAAAGCCAAACTACTATCTTCCTTTCACTTGGAAACAAGCACACACCTAATCGACGCCTTCTCTAAACAACAAGCCCCTGCTCTTGAACAGCCGCTGGCTCCGAGTGAGCCTGTAAAACAGAGAACTGCCCTCCGTGTGGTTCCCAAGGCTGTACTACATCTTTACTGGAGCAGAAACGCTCACCGTTCTCCTTCAGAGCAGCCAGTGGGGTTTACCCTCCAACCTTGTGGTTCGTAGCCCAAGGCAACCCATCGCGCTACTGAAGCTCCTCGTTGGCCCCTTCATCCCCTCGAACCTAATATTAGCCTGGGTTGGACTCATCTTTGTTCACAGCTATTTAGCATTGCCTTCTACTGAGGAGCCCTGGTGGCATAGTGAGTGGTCACATGTAGGGCTGCTAACTGCTGCACCAGTCTCTCTGCAAAAGAAAGAGGCAGCTGAAAACAGTTTCAGAACAGGCAACTGAAGGCGGAGAGGAGCAGGGAGGTTCCCAGGACCCTCCTTATGAGAAGACGATGTCCACAAGGTGTCACCATCAGTCACCTGATTGACAAGCTAAACTCCACCCCTACACTTTATACATCTTCAAGTGGACATGAAAGTCTGTAACTATCATGATAATCTGTGAGCAGCACTAAAGTGTTTCTAATTGAGATTTGAAGTGGTCATGCTGAGACATGTAATCGATACTGTAAAACCCACTGCCTCTGAGTCCACAGTGACTCACAGCAACGTTCTCCAGGGTTTCTGAGGCTGTCAATCTTTTTTTTTTTTTAATCATTTTATTAGGGGCTCATACAACTCATCACAATCCATCCATCCATCCATTGTGTCAAGCACATTTATACATATGTTGCCATCATTATTCTCAAAACACCTGCTTTCTACTTG